TATATAGCGCCAAATCACAACATAAGTCGCCTCAAGGCGCTTCATAGATACAGAGAAAAACCCAACAATCATATGACCCCCTATGAGCAAGCACTTTGGCAACAGTGGGAAGGAAAAACTCCCTTTTAACAGGAAGAAACCTCCAGCAGAACCAGGCTCAGGGAGGAGTGGCCATCTGCTGCGACCGGTTGGGGTGAGAGAAGGAAGACAGGATAAGACATGCTGTGGAAGAGAGACAGAGGTTAATATCAGATATGATTCAATGCAGAGAGGTCTGTTAATACATAGTGAGGGAGAAAGGTGACTGGAAAGGAAAAACTCAATGCATCATGGGAATCCCCCGGCAGCCTATGTCTATTGCAACATAACTAAGGGAGGATTCAGGGTCACCTGGTCCAGCCCTAACTATATGCTTTAGCAAAAAGGAAAGTTTTGAGCCTAATCTTAAAAGTAGAGATAGTGTCTGTCTCCTGAATCCAAACTGGAAGCTGGTTCCACAGAAGAGGGGCCTGAAAACTGAAGGCTCTCCCTCCCATTCGATCCACACCTCCAGGTCACACTATTAGGAAAAAGTTCAATCTGATCTCCGAATCAACAAGCCTTGCCTGTTTAAACTGAATGCCAGTTACGATTACTAAAAAGCATCAAGTTTGCAAGCCAAAAGCACGAGTCCAGTGAGACAAACAACGATAACACATCCTAATTTGATTGTTTTTAATGGACAGGAGGATTTATTACAGTCTGTTACGGTTACATTTTGTTGCACAGAGGCGGTATCTTTGCACAAATCAATATGCTCTGTTTAAATCGTAAATTCCAAATGGACCAGTAATAGTTGTTACAGTACTGTGATAGTTGTGTATACTTACATTTCCGGGGGAGCTGCACATAAAGCTACAGCTCAGGCTATGGCGTAAGGCGTGCTGCTCCAGTGCACCTACAGTGTATATTTAGTCTAGACTTACAACTCAAGCTTAACATCTGAGCTACTGCGCATTGTCCCCGTCTTTGTAGGCATTGTGTAGCCATGACCAGTTTATGTGTTGAAGGTCACCTTTCCATAAACCTCCACCAACGTAAACATTTGGATGTCTCATCTTTACTCCCCGGCTTTGTCTTCTGAGCTTTTTTAAACTTGCATTTACACTTTAGCCTAATGATGAAGCATTATTTCACATTTATATAGGTTATAATTAATTATTTGACAAATATTTATTATTAGCATTATATTGTTTTCCACTGACATTGTTGCACTCTAACCTCACTTCTGCCTCTCTTACTTACTCTTGAAACCTGCCCAGTGTGCTACATGTACTCCTTGATGCCATGGTAACAGCGCTGGGAGTTTGTCTCTGTTAGACCACAAGCAGGCTATTATGAGATGAGTGTCTCCCAAACAGAACAATTAGAGGGGGTAATAAGAGGAGAGAATGGCCGACTGTTTCGCATAAATTCTTCTTACTCCGACCGCAACGATGGCAAGAATGAATGTCACTTTGTGGAAATCCTGCCATGAAATTTTGCTCTTTGTTTGCTTCAACTTTTCCCCCCTCTATTCTTTATTTTTTGTGTGTGAGTCAGCCCGCAGGCTGCCTCTTGAAGTTTAGTTTGCAGACTTTGATTAAAGTGAGTGAGGATGTGTTGACTTCCAACTTTACAACTGCAGAGTTTGGATTTTGCTCAAGCTTTTAAAAATATTGCGAGGCATTATTAAGGCAACACCCTTTTCCACAGCCACAGTTTTACAATGCAAGCCTTCATTGTTCGGCTGTGTTTTAACAAACTGAGGCCCCCGTCACCGTCTCTGACCAGACTTGCTGTCTTTTTGTTTTTCTTCTCATATTCTTGCACATCTGTGACTTCCAGCCATAAATTGAATTCTCATCCAACCACAATAGCACTGACGATTGGGTAGATCAACATTTTGGCCGGTGCCTCCCACCTACTCTTAGCATTATTTACAAACACTCTGTATGCACAAATCCCTGCATAAGCAGTCCATTCAAACATTTAATGCACAAATCTGTGCTACATCAATATCTTCTTACATGAATTTGTCAACACTCTGTGATTAAATGCGCACATATTTGTCTCATTACAAAGTTATTAACAAATGTTCACCAGAACTTCCTCAGACCATGCACACCAGTAGAGCAGGGCAATATGGCCAAAAAAATTTATCGCAATATATATTTAAAAATTTGCGATAATGATATAACCGAGATATAATTGACTCGAGACCATAACTCCGCAACTTTATTAGTGCAAAAAACCCTCAGTGTATTTTCACTGAAACAAGCAGCTGTTTTTTTTTATGCAAATTCCTTGCTGACAGTTTAACCGAAAGACATTTCCAGTGGAAACAGGCTGAGATATCCTGAGCATAACATGTATAATATCCACAAAACTTAAGAGGTTATACACACACAATACGGTAATATTATGTTGAAGCACAGTACATATTACTCCGTGAAGCTCCCGACTATGGTAGCCATAATGCTCCGACAATCCATCAAGCGGTGCTCCTTCGTAGCTTGTCAAAGTCGTACTAAAACATCTTTTGACAGATTTTCGAGCACTGTGTACCACATAAAGTCGGTTCAAGGTTAGTAAGCACAACCAGGATTCATACACAAGGCACACCGGATTATAAGGGGCACTGTCGATTTTTCAGAAAATCAAAAGATTGATTCTAAGTGTGCCTTATTTTCTGAAAAACACGGTAATAGCGACGGCCCGCTTCCACGCTTTACCAAAAATTGTGCTTCTGTGTGTATCTGACGGACGAAAGCCAAACTAGTTCCACACCACTGAAGTTGCAGCATTTTTACAAACCAATTCTGGTTCATCTGTTTCATTCAACAATCCGCTTTCGCCCTTGTCATTCGCTTTTTCCATGTGCATATAAAAACAAAGGCACTGCACATGCGCGTTTTACCCATATTCTATCGCAATATTTCATTTTCTTATCATTGCCTAACAGTATACCGGTATTACCGTGAACGGTGTGATATGGCCCAGCCCTACTTTCACCTGTATTTTCATTATCTCTACAGATCCTATCTACTATAGAAATGTTGACGGGAGGGTGGGTGTTCACAGTGAGTCAAAGTGAGTTTGACATGCCGCTGATATAACTGATCAGCTTTAAGTAAATCGCCTCTGTATTCTTTTGTATATGCACCAACCTTATGCCTTTCATCCCTCTGGCTATGGCTGTTAGGCTCTGCTCCACCTTCCTGTTTGCACTGAAGGGTAGCCTTGGCACATTCTGATGCTGGTCTGTCTTTAAGCAAGTTGTTTAGCTATGGCTAGTGCAAAATTCATTTTAGGGCGCAAGGACTACAGAGCTGGCAAGTTTTCCTCCACTGTTGAAGAAGTAGCTGTTGCTGTTTTATGTATGCCAGGAAGATAACGTTATACACGTTCAAGGACTGTTATCTACGGTGGGAACTAGATTATCCACATTCCAGAGACTGGACTTTTGTTTGTTATTGCCAGCCATACAAAAAGGTGATGAGAGTCCCGCTTTTGCTCTAGCAGCATGTTTTTCTGCAACAACAGCAAAATGTGTTAATGTTAGCTGAAAGACAAAGAGCTGTGGAACCTCAACCAACAATACTTCACAATTTAATTGTTAGTAGTTTGCTAATTTAATGCATTTTTGATTTTTCGATGTCATCGAGGTTTTCACACAAAACCTTAATTTCTAAACAAGACTGGGTAATAGAAATGGACTGGTGACAGTGCTAACCACTGCATCATTGTGCCACCCTGTTAGTATTTGTATTTTTAGACCGCTGATGACTTTGTTGCAATTCAGTATTGCACGTTCCAAGACTCTTCGATGGTTGGCTTTGCATGTTTCTTCTGTTTGTAAAGTAGTATCTAATTTCACAATGGGTACTTTCTAGTGAGCCACCGCCTAGCAGGCACGAGCAAAATACACAGTCTACCTTAAGAGAACAAGACTTATGGTTGCAAACTATATATATATCCGACAATCCTGAACTTCCAATCCCTTGTAGTGGGTTGAGTTCTATAAGGATCTTGTAAAAATAATGCCACCAGCTTTTGAAAGATCTTCAGCCGCAGAGCTCCACTGAATAAACACTCTTTTGGTGTAAATTCATGCTTTAATTTTGGTTTCTACTCATTCTTCTCTTCACCTTCCTTTTTCCTAATGTAGTTTATACAGTTATAGTGGTTGTTCCACTGCCCTCCACTTCAGCTATGAAAAATGAAAGAATCATTTTCTTCCTATTTACATTTTCCAATGAAAGTTTGTATCCAGTTGCAGGAGGAATTGCATACTGAAAGCAAGATTTCTGGGAAACTAATCAAAATCATTGAATTCTCTTTATTACATTGTGCACTGAGAATTAATATTAATACGTAATTTATTTGCATTCAATTTATCATGTTATTTTGCCATAAAAGGCAAAAATAGTATTTATTATATACATGTAGACGGCAAAAATAGGAAAAAAACCCACTTAAATGTAAATTCCTATGTATATTTCCATGTTACTGTATAGACCGATATTTAATAAAAGGGGAAAACAACGCTGTGGTGAAGAGATCTCTTGTAAATCCCTTGTTTAGCTTGTATTTTGCTTGCTGCCCCTGTGACATTGTCTTGGTTAAGTAGGGCACTTGTTAATGTAGTTGTGCTTTCTGTGCTTTGAAAGCAGTTGGACATGTGTGTCATAGTGGCAAGATTTTCATGCAGGAAGTGTTTTTTATAGCTTTAAAATAAAATTAATCTAAAGATTAAAAACAGAAAAGCAACATGTGTTTCCTTATTAGTGAAAATAAGTTTACTTAATACGTCCCTTAGGTCTTATTTACTCACAGTGTCATCTGTCTCGGTTGGTGACCTAATAATGTTTATGCTAGTGTCAGCATGTAGTTGGATTTGTTTAGGCCACTCACTGTGCTGTGTTGTCTCTACTGAGGAGGTGCAGGGCATTGGATTAGCCATCCCTGTCTCTCTCATCCTTTCTCTCTGCCTCTCATTGGGGCAATGGTCAAGCTTAGATATAAGGTATTCACTTTGTAATCATTGACTGTTCCTCTACTCTTGCCCAGAATGGTCTGTCATCATGCTCCCCTGTTCTTTTAAAACCTGATAGAACAACTGGTCTCCGGGTCAGACTTGAGGATAAGTTGAAGAGGATTAGAGATGAGCACAATTTTCTGTTGGGAGTAGCGGGAACTGAATTACATAACAACAATGGATATCTTAACTTGATTAAAATCATCTGGATTAATAAAACTTAAACTTGTAAACTTGTGACAGCTTAGAAATTCACTTGTTTTGGAGCTCAACGTTCGTGTGGAATGATCTCAAATTCCCTCTGGACTGTTTTGTCTGCAGGTTGCTTCACTGTGTAGTTTTGGAGCGATCTTGAGGACTTGAAAAGCACACATTTTTCTCGGCTGGCTTTGGACTGTGGTTAGAATTTACAATTGGAGTGTGTCCAGGTTTGTTGTAATGTTGCTGATATGGTGGTTTTTATTGAAGCTGGGAAATATAAACTTCATAAGACCGCAGTTTGTTAAAGTGTGAGAGGAATTCTTAGTTGTAAACATAGTACTTAAATGAACTCTACAGAGTTCATTTAAGAGTTTTCTGATAAAGTTAGTTTTACTTAACAATACCATCATGGCATCTGAGCCTTGTCCTCTGACTGGAGCAGAGAGAGCCGTGTGTAGACTTGTCCACTGTGGACCCCGACCTCAAGCTATGCTAAAGCCTTTACCTCTGGAGCTCCAGGTGTATGTGGACAAAACAAGGACCAAGCAAAAACACAGGTACTGTAAAAAAAACCAAAACAAAACTCAAAAGTAACCCGTCAAGTTTTTACAAACCAAAATGACCTTGGTGAACACATACATTCCATATTAGGGCAATGTTATGAAATCTGACTAGAAGATAGTGTAATATCAGCTGCTTTAAATGACTGTTCACGTCACAGTAAATCCTTTTTGCCTCAAAAATGACGATGCATTCGCGTCTTCGATTTGACAATAAATAAGCTGTAATGCAGAAAACTGCAAATGGTACGACTCTTTACCTTTTGAATGGAGCCTTTTGCAAAGCCTTTTGATTAGATGCAAGGATAATCCTTGCTTATCTCTACATTCTAGTACTTTATCTGGAATTTAGTGTTACTACTAAACTGTCTGGTCTTGTTTATCCTGGATTATGCAATGCATTTAGGGTGTATACTTCTGGATATAGCTCACTCATGAAGCCTTGCTGTATGCTTACAGTGAGTTCTGACTGGACACCACAGATGCTTTGCTGTATTTTAGCTCAGCAGCCAACTTCAATCTCTGAAACATAGTTTTGTTAACTTCAAGGCATGGAGTGCAACATAGGGCAAAATATTAACCCCTTTAGTTGTTCAGAAATACCAGATTTTCATAGACTTCATGCATTAACCCTGCAGAGGTCTGGCATCCTATCCAGCGTGTACCCCTGCTCTCATCAGAGACAGCTGGGGTAGGCTTTAAGCTGCCGGAGCCCTGAAGTAGATAAGCAGTTAAGGAAGTGGATGGATGACATTGTCTCAGATTGCAGTCAAATGTTTTTCAAATGTTTTCTCTCTGGTGTGGGTGGGACACTCTGTCTCCGTCTTATTTTGTTTCATATCCTCATAAAAATCTCAGAACATGCAAGAGAACGGCACGTCTTCGAACATCAGGCTGTTAACTGATTTAAGCAGTTAAAAGTGTATCACCTTTTCAAGGTGTTCGTCATCGAGCTCAAACTCAGTTACTAAGGCAACAGTCCACAGAATTTATTACAGACCTTGTTGTCATGGCGATACTGCGTCTCTGTGAAAGTATATTTCACTGCGACTGTAATGGTATCCATGTTTACTGTATGTCCTAATCTGTGATCGGGCTAATGTTTTTATTTCATTAGTTTCATGACTTTATTGTATGCGTGTATCTTGCAGGATGGAGGCCTCGTGCTTAGAATTGGCCTTGGAAGGAGAGCGGCTATGCAAGGCTGGGGACTTCAAAGGGGGAACAGCGTTTTTCGAAGCAGCCGTAAAGGTCGGCACAGAAGACCTGAAGACCCTCAGTGCCATCTACAGCCAGCTGGGCAATGCATACTTCTACCTTAAGGAGTATGGCAAAGCCCTGGAATACCACAGACATGACCTTACCTTAGCAAGGTGAGCAATGTGCACAAGCTATGAGTAAAACATTCACCTCAGCTTTGTGCTGCTTGTTTTGAGCTGCTTGGGAGTCTTATTCAACAATCTGTTTGCTGCACTGTAAATGGTTAATAAACTTCACATTTGAAATCTTTAGCTGAGAAGAACTGCATCTTTACGATAAGGGAACTTATACACAGATCAATAAACCCTGCATGCATACTGCATCCATCACACAGACATATAAGAGGACTGTGCACCAGTATGCAGGAATCATATGCTACGTTCTGTTATTTGATGTACACACAGTTCAAAAGGAAAACAGTCTTTTCCACCCTTTTTTCTTTAGATGATTTGATGCATGGAAACCTTCATGAATTTCAGACAAAGAAATTAAAAAAAAAAGTGAGGAGACTTTTACGTAGTAACAGTTGACAAATACCAACTGGATATTTAGCTTGTGAGTAATCTGGTCTCCTGCAGTTAGTGCAGCTGGTACTCCTGCAGGGAACTGATTAAGAACCCTAGGGAGATTTACCTTGTTACATTACAGTCTCACCAGGGCCACTGGGGCTTGGTCCTCGGAAGTAGGCAACTGTTGTTGCAATATTTTAATGGTTATTCATTAGCTAAATGGATAACTCGTGGCTTCCTGTGGGTCATCTGGGCTGCCTGCTAGAGGACAATAACATAATGAAACAATGTGGCAGTAGCAGGTTCATAAGAGCATATAGTAACTGCAAGCACTTAGTGCATACCATCTTTTAGTTGCTCAGTTTCAAAGTGTGAAAGTGAAAAAAGGAGAACGACACAATGGGGAAATTATTTCTCACTTCCAGCATGAAGAGAAAGTAGGCCATAGCAACCAGAGAGGAACTAATCGTGTTGACAAGTTCCGATTCAGCGATGCATGATTAAGCCTAAAGTAATTAGTGGACATGGTGCTTTATTTAGTGCTTGTTATGCTTTATAATGCATTGTCAGTGACTCTCTAGGGTTGTGTATAACTTTACATGTATAACAAATAAAGGAAATCAGTTATGTTCAATAGCCCGTTGTTGAATAAATGTAATATAGCAGCAATATGACTGAATATCTTACAAATTCCTTGATGTGGATGGTCATTTTAGGTCCAGAAAAAACAGTCTTGGAAAACAGAAACAGTGACCAAAACCACAACCTTAAAGTGACATTTGATTTCCTTGATTCACTTTGTTTTCTTCACCAGATGACAGTAATCAGATACGGCCTGTTGTAGATATTAATTGCAGTGATATTTAGTTTGTGGTACACCAAGCTTATTGTGTATTTTTTATTTTATTTATTTATTTTTAAAATAAAAGCTGTGTAGATCACTGATTGATCTAAATGTTTAACTAGTGGGGTCTCAAAAAAGCAGTGATTTTGATTCTAATGGCGCAAGATCTCCGAGCAATAACTTGGTCTTTAACTCTGCCACTAATCACCAAAGATGTCTTTCCTCCACAGAACAATAGGAGACCGAATTGGAGAAGGAAAGGCCAGCGGCAACCTCGGTAACACTTTAAAAGTATTAGGGCGTTTCGATGAGGCCGCTGTCTGCTGCCAAAGACACCTGGACATTTCTCAAGAGCAGGGCGATAAGGTAAGATTATGTACATATATTTGGATATCCAAACAAACCAACACAAACAGAAATATGAAAATCTTCTCGGAAAAAGATAGTGGCAGCCTGTGTTTCTTCACTGTCCTGAAGGTTGGAGAGGCCAGAGCACTGTATAACATGGGGAACGTGTTTCACGCAAAGGGCAAACAGCAGTTATGGGGCTGCACCCAGGAACCAGGGGACCTGCCTCCTGATGTCAGAGACACACTGCAAAGGGCTACTGGATTTTACGAGTAAGTATGTTTTATGCCTGTAGAGCAAATGAATGTATAGAACAGCTACCAGAGTCACAGTAGTCAGTAGCTCTGACATACGAATGTTGCTGCGTTTTGTGGTACTATTGATGATTTTTGAATATTGTCAATTCCCTTTTTTGTCAAGTAGTGGCCGAGAGTTGGTTTGGCTGCTTTCTCATTTTAAACAGAATAACAGTGTACATGTGTGTAACACTGAATTTACTTTTGAGTCCCTGATGATTAAAAGCAACCGTCACAGCCCTCACTGTGCTACCGTCTTTATGACTGGGGTGAGGGTGACTTTGAAAAGATTTTTTAAATCTGTTTTAATACAGTCTTGGTACCACCACTGTGATAATGAAGGTTTCATTTTATTTTCACCATACTATCAAATATTTTAATTTCTACTCTCCTGCTGTTATTTTACCAAGATCTTTGTCAATAATATGCCAAGATAAGAGCAAATAAGTTAAATAATGTGTGCCAATCAGGTAAACATGATGAGGTCCTTGACCCGGTTTCTCCTCCACATGTTGAGAGGGTTGAATTGGGGCTAAACTGGCCTAAACTTATTGTAATGCAGGTTTTACAGCATAAAGTCTTCAGTTGAACTTTGATAAAGGAAGTGTTGTCTTTCAACACAAGAAGTACAGCACACTGAGTATATTGCAACACATCATCTTATTTCTTTATAAATTATGGGCTGAAATGTTCACGGGCAGGCTGTAAATGACATTAAAAAGAAACCAAATGCAATTAGTGCCAATTTGGTGTTTCTGAAAATATGGCCAATACATAAGAAAAAGGGTATACTGAAAAGACACTATTTTACAGATAGAAGTGTGTGCAACATAGCTCATCTAACTTAAAGAGCCCATTTAAAAAAAAAAAAAAAGAATTAATATTTCACTTTTTTCGTTTCTTTCTAGCTATAATGAATGTAGTAATTGCTTTATATCAACATCAATTAATTAGCTGTTGTCTCATGTCATACCTCGCATAGTAGACTAAATTCTGTTGATTACACATAAAAATGGGAATGCAAAAAAAAAGTTCAACAACCAATAACAACTAAATGTGTGTGCCTGGATGTGTAGGATGAACCTGTGTTTGGTCAAAGAGCTTGGCGACCGAGCTGCTCAGGGCAGGGCCTACGGGAACTTGGGCAACACCCACTACCTGCTGGGTAACTTTGTGGAGGCTATAAAGTTCCACCGTCAGGTAAGAAATCCACATTTCATCCACAAGTTTCAAGATCGCACTGCTGTAATGCAGAGGTGGGAGGTATCAGCCATAATGATTTCATATGAGCAGTTTTCCAGCTTGGACCATTCACTGTGCAGCTGTTCAGCAGCCGTGGCCTCCCATCATATAATACATGTGTGATACATACATATCATGTTTGGGTGAATGATGTTGAAGTTCTTAGGTGTATAAATAGATTGTAAATTAAGTAAGGAAACTCAATAAAACATATTTCAATAAAAATGTTTACAAGAATCACGTTATTACACCAAGTCAAAGAATTTATAAATCCCATTTCTTTTTAGATAATGTGCTGCTCACTCGTAGTTCCATACTTGACCTACAAAGTGGAATGGAATACAGTGCTGTGCAAAACCAAAATGCTGTAAACAAAGAATGCTTTCAAAAAATGGAAGTGTTAATCATTTATTTTCATCAATCAACAAATCTAAATCAAATCAATACTCGGTGTGGCCACACTTTGCCTTCAAAACAGCATCAATTCTTGTAGGTACACTTGCACACAGTTTTTGAAAGATCTCAGCTGGTAGGTTATTCCAAACATCTTGGAGAACTAACCATAGATCTTAATCATGTAATCCCAGACACACTCGATGATGTTGAGGTCAGGGCGCTGTGGGAGCCATATCATCACTTCCAGTACTTCTTGTTCTTTACGCTGAAGATAGTTTTTAATGACTTTGGCTGTGTGTTTGGGGTTGTTGTCCTGCTGCAGAGTACATTTGGGGCCAATAAACAATTATTTATATTTCTGAAAGCATTCTTTGTTTATAGCATTTTTTCACACCTGCCTAAAACTTTTGCACAGTACTGTAAATAGATAAATAATAATTCTAAAAGGAATAAAGCATAGTTGCATATACGTTTGTTTATATTATGTGCCCTTTTTGCAGAGATAAAGTTGTTCTTTTCTTGTTTCCCTTTGCTTTTGGAAAATATTGCTTGTTTTGCAGTATTTTTGCAGTATTTTCAGACAGAAATAAAATGAATTAATGAACAAATGTTATTTGCATCTGGCTGAGCAAAAAAAAAAAACCCCCAAAGATTTGAATGAAGCTCTTTCATTTTCCAAATTTGTTTCACAACATCATGTAAAAGATGAACCTAATGTTTTACATATGTTTTGCCTTGTCTGGTGTGGTTTTGGTGGCCTGTGTCCTTACTGTTGTGGCCTTGACATCCTAGATGTTTGAACTGCAGCACTGAGTGAAACTACATTTTCTTTATTTTAGCCTCCTTTATCTGTTAAATGCACCTGAGAAGTAAACAGGTGGCCCGCACTGAATTTGCTTTGGTGTTAAGATCAGAAACATTTGCATGACTTGAGCGTTTAGCTTCTAAGTTCAGTCAGAGTAGAGTACAGTTCATTTAATTTCAGTCAGTGAAGCAGATGGTGTTCCTGAGAGATGTTTTTGCTGGTCTTACCAAGGTAAATGTGGTGTAAAAGTGTGTGTTTCAGTGCTTTGGTATCCATCTAAAGCTGCCCTAGCGGACAGTTTGCAGAGATTGATGGCTACTCATACAGAAAAAGGACAAAATTGGTTTCTTGGTGAATCAGCGGGAAGCATGGCTTCAGGCTTCCACCCTCCATTTTTCTATTGAAAACCAAGTTTTTCCTCAAGTGGGAAACTGATTTCTCCCCTTCCTTCCCTGTTACAAATCTATCAGTATGCTGCAGAGGAGAGGTTTCATATGGAGAGAATCAGAGGAGCTGATTTGATGCACCGCTGCTGCAGCATCACCTCTGCTTATGAAATAAGGTTTCCTACAGAGCTTCCAATATGAACTTGTGAAAAATCTCTCTGCCTGAGCACCAAGTAAAACAAATGCACCTAAGTAAAGCAAAGTGAAAGGAGGATTTAACTTGTTGTCATTAAAGTTAACAATTGAAATTAAAAGTCTTGATTTGTGAACTTGTTGCTGTCATCATTTACAGCGATTATCCATTGCCAAAGAATTCGGGGACAAAGCAGCTGAACGGCGAGCTTACAGTAACTTAGGCAATGCCCTGATATTCCTGGGACAGTTCAACACAGCCACAGAGTACTACAGGTGAGGAAAGAGTGCAGTCTGACATCTAGTGGATTGAAGGAGAAATGAACCAATTTTAACCACTTAGAATATCTCATGAATGCTTAAGTACATGTAGTGAAATAGCTATGTAGCTGTTTAATCATCATTCTTATTCATGTACCCTGTTTCTCGCATTCCTTTGTTAGCCTCTATTTTCTTCATTTTTTCCCAACCCTTATTTATCCCATTATTTTCCTTCCTATAGGAAAACTCTGCAACTGTCCAGGCAGCTGAGGGATCAGGTGATGGAGGCTCAAGCGTGTTACAGCCTGGGCAACACTTACACTCTTTTACAGCAGTATGAGAGGGCCATAGACTATCACCTCAAGCACCTGTACATAGCGCAGGAGCTAACAGATAGGTATTGTTTAAAAACAATTGAAAGAAAACCAAACAAATGACCACAGGAACAGGTTTTTTTAATGTTGTGCGTTCACTTTTTCATAGGGTTGGAGAGGGCCGTGCATGTTGGAGTCTGGGAAATGCATATGTGTCTTTAGGGAACCACAAACAAGCGCTTTACTATGCCAGAAAGCACCTGGAAATCTCTAAAGAAGTGAGAAAGCTTTACAAGCGCAACAATATAAAAAGGCCGCTTGCATTTTATGTAATTTTTTTTTGTCTCTTTGTCCCTGATTTCATCCGCAGATTGGAGACAGAAATGGTGAACTGACAGCCAGGATGAACGTGGATCAGCTGATGGAGGCCCTGGGGGTCACTGAGAGCGACCTTTCACCCTCAAGTTCAGAGTTTGAGATGCAAGGTAGCACTGAAATTATTATTTTTTTGCTTTTTTTACATGAAAGGTAATGTGGTCATGCTGGACTTTGTGTTTAGGATATACTTTATTGATGTCGAAAGTTGGGAAATTATCGTCACAGTAGATAAAACATGAAAAACAACCTGCTATGGTAACATGAATACAAGATCCCAAAACACAAATAGCTCAGAAATATTAAAAAATATAATTGTTGATTAGTTTGGTCAGGTACTTTCAAGCAAAGGTCCCACAGAGATGATCTCTTGCAACAAAGTGTGTGTCTGGAATATGTCAGAGCACAAACTGTATCATGTAGCTTGTTAGCATGCTGTTGTTTACGCTCAGTATTAACTTCCTTGTTTTGCTCAATTGTGTGAAGACGGTGCTTCTTCTTTTCAAAGTATGTGCATATACTAGCTTCTCTCACAGATAAATGCACCAATCCAGAACACAGGACCTTTCTCCTGCATTTACTCTATCGCTTCTCCCCAAATAAAACTGCTTATCGCTGATATGTAATGTGAACGTCCTCATGTGGTTTGCAATGTCTATTTCTTCAGCTGACAGAAAAAAGGCAAACCAAGGCTCAGAAGAAACGCTTCTTACACATATGCATGCATAAACAATAAATGGAACAGCAGTGGAAAGTGCTTATTATCACTAAGACACACATATATATATACATACATATACATATATACACACATCTGCATTAAATTAATACATTTTTATGTTTCTTTAGTGGTTAATCTGCTAGCATGTGCAGACTGTGTAATCAAAATTATGTTTTTAATGGTAAAATGTAATAATAACCATCATCATCATCGTTGTTGTTGTTGTTGTTGTTGTTGTTATTATTATTATTACTATTATCCACAAATTTTTACAAAAAAGCTGGAAAAAATATTTGCTTAAGATGCCAAATCACACCTGTTTAACTTGCATTCTTAAACAGAAAATGTTAGTGATGAAATTATTTGGTTACTTGTTACTTAAATACACATAAATACACTTCAGTAAATTTGTATTAAATTTTTTTTTTTTTTTTTTACAGATTTCTAAAATATTTCTGTTTTGTTGTTATTATGACAGGTCATGGTTAAGCACTACATATATAATCAAAAACAATCTTGTAAAAAAACAAGAATCATTCTGAACTTTGTTGAAGTAGTTAGTAAATGTGCAGTTAAATGCTTTTCTCATCCGATTAGGCCCACACATACTGCACAAGTTCTGTGTGGTATGTGTGGGCCTGAGCAAGCTAACTACAATGTTTTATGTGTGCACAAAATTATAAATGCAAAACAAACTCCACGTGGGACGGTGTGTTAAATCTGCACTGAGGCTAAATGTGACAGAAAACAAGTGGTGTGTGCATATTTATGAGGTAGGATAAAGATACTTGTTTCACTCTGTGGTCCAGGAGGATGGGTTGTCCGTAAGCCATATCAGGCCTCAAGTAACAACAATGTTTTATTGAGTCCCCTCAAATGGTCCACCAGCTCACATAGACATCAGAGCCTTGTATAATAAAGTGAGTAGAAACTGTAATATCTGAACAGTTTGCCTGGCTTCTCTGTGATATTTGCTTTCATAAACTATCCTCCAGGCAGAAATTCACACCCATGTCCTACATTTCCCTCTGGAGCAGAGCTGGCAAACAGACTCTTATTCACTTTGCTTGCCTAGTGGTCGGCCTAAGCCTCATATCCACACCGAACATCATGGGACCACAGCCGAGATTACAGCCTACTGCGAAAATAAAAGATAAACAAAGGGCAGCTTGCAAGCTTAAATCGGCTCATAAATGGGATTCAAGACTGTCTAAGTGATCAAAACCCAAAATTGCAATATTAAATATTTGGGGTTTTTTTTTTGTCCTGTAGGAGCAAGACCCAAATTCACCAAGAGAAACAGCATGGACAGTGTAGAACTGTGGAAATACTCTTCAGATAAGGTGATTTCCATTATTTGAACATGTCTCTAAACCACTGTAGGAAAATGTGCCTACATTGTGATCCACCTCTAACAGCATGCTCTGTTCATGCAGAATGGTGAGAACCAAGACTTGGAAAGTATACCGAGGAGATCTAAGAGTCACCTGTCGCAGCCTAGCAAAAGAAAAGGCTGTTCTGACAGCCAGTCATCAGAGGAAAGGCTGTGGTTTGACTCACCCGTGGACACTGATGACATCACTGTGCAAGTTCCACCTCCAGTGCCAGTAGGTGGCCTCAATGTTGCTGTTTTTATTAAATACTTATTGACTCCCAACCTCACATCATATCCTTATTGCCTCGTCACTGCACTCGTAACCTGATCTTCAACAAGTATCAAAAATTAAACAGTAGTTATTCCAGCTCCATTTCATGGAATACAATGTGAAAATTCTTAAAGTATAGGTGTGTTCCTGTGTCTCTTTTTGTTTTTAACCCCTCCCCCCCTCTTTTTTTTTTTGCTGATAACAACAAACAAAAAACGTAAAATTTAATTTCAAGCTTTACAGTTTCAAGAAGCCTAAAATGTCAAGGATTTTTCTTATAGGATTTTACCAGCACTTGAATAACAGTTTGTTTAAACTGTACACAAAAGCTTTATAAACATAGTAGACATTTCTGTTTATGGACTCATTTGAAATAACAAGAAAATGTAGATATTTCTGTATAACACAGACACTCATTTACTGTACACGGACTGATGAGCGTTCATTTCACCAGCTTCATATTTCTAAGATACACCTGAGCCTCAGTGCAATCTCTTACAGTGCATTTGAGTAAAGGTGGAGATAATTTTGTAGAAAGCACGAGATGACTGTGAGATGGTGAATGTTTCACTTAACTTCGCTTTCTTATCTTTTCTGTTCATTGTAGCTTCTGCTTTAAAGCGAAGAATGAGGGAGAAAATACATTAATTTCAAATAACTTTGGTAAACGATGTCTTCTGCAGTGTAAAAGTGACTTCTCTGTTAATAATATAAACTTGATTCTTAATGGATATGTTTTTCCCCCCACAGCTGTTCTGTCTGACTCACCACAGCACCTAATCATGCCTTGTTTCTGTGGCACTGCTAATTGTTGTTATTAGTAATGTGACATGCGGGGGAAAAAAAGAGTGAAAATTACAGGGCTTTAGGAATAACAGTTTATCACAGCGAAGTAGAAATAGAAGTACAGAAGTAAATGTGGGTGATCTTGAGTCATACCTATTTTCAAATCTAGCATTAAGACCGTTTAAGACCATTTGTGTATCTGTGAGCTGCAGATGTTACGACTTTTCTTTGTTTTTGCTACAAGTTAATGGATGGCTGATTTTTGATGAAACCATAGGGGATAAAGTCCTCTGCTTCGGTTGCTAAGCATTTCGTGTTTCTGCTTTTTTTCCATGCTACATCTGCAGCATGCAGTTTGACATTTGATTTTGCCATAGCGAGTGTATCTAGGCAGATAAGCTAACTTTAGCTCTCGAGTCGGTTGAAAAAGTTGCATCGTGCTTAGTTTTTAATATTACCAGACGACTCGTTGCTTGTGTCAACTGCGCCTGCTTGATAGGGTCGGGATTACCCAAAAAGTACCGGCCAAGTTTTAATGACACTTGAATGGAAACTGTTTCACAAATTTAGCCTCACCAGTAGCTTGTGAACAGGCATGCCAAGCTCCATGCTTGGAAGCTCGGGTTGTTAATGGGCCACTGAGGACTGACAAACTTTACTCCCTCCCTGTTAAGTAACCAGCAGATGGTTTGCAATGACATATCAGTAGAAAAACTCCTGAGAAAGGGGCCCTAGGTAGAGGGTGAATGCAATGCACACCAGCAGTGTAGACTATGAGAGAGTGTTGGGTCTAATTGGGATTTCAGTGATGTTTAGTGTTACTCCTTTGTGGTTTAAGTACATGGTGTGTATGTTAATTGGATGTTACGCTTTGTTCATGAATAAATCATTATGATGTTTGATCTGAGTGCTCGCTGTGGGGGATGTCTGCAGTGTCTGTGTCCTTCTAGTTTTTAAAAATCAGAAACATGCAAAAAGTAGATAAATGCACTGACAGGCAGTTTAGGCTGTATGTACCAGGGAAAAAGTTATGTAGAAGACACAGAACTCAATAAGCAGTGCTTTTCTTACATTGGTTGAAATCTGGCAAAGGCCTCCCTCTTCATACTCTATAGACAGGGGAAGGTTAACCCTGAAAGAAACCTCTCCCATCAGGATTAAAAATTTCATCATAGAAAAAGTTCATCACTTCTTTCTAAGGGGGGAAGTAGACCTAAACCATCAAGCAAAAGGCCCACCAAAGCATATCAAAGTCACCAGATCCCCCTCGCTTTGGGGGTCAGTGATTCAGGTCCTTCTTTCATTTTGTCACCTATCTATACTTTAGGAAGAACTTCCTTTTATCTTTCACTGTCCCGGTCTGACAGTACTCCCAGTCTCTCTCTGCAAGCACACACATATCTTTACTGTCTATTCTCTTCCTCTCTCACCATCATCACGTGTTCCTTTCTCTCTTGTTCTTTCCATATGGCCTACTTGATTAGTTGGCCTATACAGAGAAGCAAACGACAGCATCCACATAGAGACAGAGAGGAAACTGCTTTAAGTCACATTGGGTGTGTGTTTATAGAGCCCAGTCATGTGAGTTTGTAAGAAGTAAGTAAAGATATTGGTGTTTTTTGCCATCTGAGAGTAGTTGACTTCTGATGGAAATGGGTGCTCGCATGCAGTTCACTCATAACTGTACTCCTCCACCCATCTTTCTACCCCTGCTGCCTCCCCCTCTTCCCCTTTGTCCATACCAGCCCTCCCTCTTAGCTGATAATGTGACCTTGATCAGAGAAGCTCTACTCTCCCCATAGGGTCAACCCCCCCCCCAGCTCTCCATAATGAGTTGTTTTCCCACAGTGAGTGAACAGGACAAAAATGGCCTGCTGGAGAGCTGCACAGAGAGAGTAAGATAGACACAGGGGGAGAGGGAGAGAGAGAGAGGAGGTGGCAGTGGTTGGTAGAGATTTAAAAAAGAATGCAAAGAGGAGAATGCAAGGAAATTAGAGGTAGGTAGTAGGAGCAGCAGGAAAGCAGAGAGTGATGTAAAGGGGTGGGTGAAAGTAGGGGAGAAGGAGGTGTGAGCCAGACGTGCGGACAGCGCTAGACAGAAAGAGAGCTCATAAAGACATGAGACAGAAGGGTAGATAGAGGACAAAGAAGTGCTGCTGGTAAGTTGTCTCACTTTTTGTTTTGTAACTTGGAAAAATGGCTTCCCGCTAAGGTTTAGTGGGGAGTATTCACTTTCTTTTCACGTTTGATACCGAAGCGTGCCTTTATTTGCAGTTAGTGTGTTTGTCTTGCACTGCATGTAAAGATATTTTGCTGTTTTCACTGAGCAAATACCGCAGAGTTGGGAAAAAAGGATGTTTCTTTATGATCTATAGTACAACTTTTTGTGTATTTTAAACAACAGTTTGACTTTTTCAATGCAGAAGTTGAAAAACACGTGATTCTTAGAATAGAGATGCATGAAATCTGGTGTCTGCTGACCTACTTCACATATTGCTGTAAGGCAAAGTGATTTGAGCTCTGTTCAGTAGTCGGTGTTGAAGGTGTTCAAAACAGATTATTTGGAACAAGTCTATTATATTTGCTGCGCGTGGGAGAGGAATGCAACCAGAAAACTTTTATAAGGAAGACCTCATCAGTTGTTGTTGATTTTAGTGCCATTGACCCAAGTTAACCTGCTCTGGCACTTTTGTGTCACAAATATAATGCAGCGAATGTTGTCGATTGTTCAATGTTGAGATATGAAAAGCCAAACTTTTGAAAAAGAAAAAAAGAATTGCTATTAGGCTGTAATTTATAAACTTAAATAGATTAAATTCAAAATTACTGGCCGGTAACAAGTTTTTCAATATTATTCTGACAAATGTACAGTATTATATAGCACATATTTTCCTAGCTCTAGAGGGTCTAGAGAGTTAATGCAGCAAGTGTGATCATTTATGCACAAATGTTTATTTCGAAGTGCAGCCCACCACCCTTTTGCACGATTGTAGTTTAATATTTTGTGAAATATGCAGCTGAAAGTTGTTTCTCTTTTCAGTCTAGCACTTTGTGATGTGTTGCGTGAAATTTGGTTTGTTAGCAGTTTTCCATCAGATGATCGCTGGATCAGCAGCTTAATTTTAATTTGAGACGGTGTTAACATCTCATTTCATCTGCTGCCATCCGGTCTGGCAGATAAGCTTTTGTTTCAGAGGTATGATATTGTAGCCCGAGTGCCACAATATTTAGCAGCATTGTTCAAACATAATAAATTCCACATCTGCTTTGCTAGCGCGGGGTATTTGTTTCACACATAAATTATCCACTTCACTTGCAAACTTGTGTGTATTATCAAGACTCTGGTTGTGTTTAATTAAAAGGAAAAAAAAGCATCATTCAGCAGGATGTTGCTGGAGGACTGATTCCAGGGAAGTCAGTGTAACACAAAAATGGCATTCAGTCGATGTGACTGACCCATTGACTAGATCTGATACACAAAATGATGTTTAACAGTTCAATAATTCTGTGGCAGCTGCTACATTTTTTTTTTTTAAAGATTTCCATCTGATTTTACTAGTTGATGGTCATTGGGCCATATGACTTGCTGCAGCTGATACTCATTTTATGTGCTTGTATCACATTCCGTATGTAGGTCAAGGTAGTCTCTTCAGAAGTGCCATCCCTTGTGAGTTAATCAGATTATTTTTCACCTCCGCGAGCTGGCTATCTTGAAAATCCTCATTATGCAACTCCTAATGGCATTGAGCTTAATTAAGTCACCTGCACATAATGGTTTTTTAATGTACGAGCAGTTCATCATAATCAAGTGCGCTTGAAATACTTTAGTTGCCTCACTTTCAGGAAGTATCTTTTCAGACAGAGCAGCAAAAAATAAGAAAATGAGAAAACAGGCACTCAGCAGATAAGACAGACGCTCTTTGTGCTTAAAGTGAGAGATTTGTTGTTTTCGTTGCAGAAGCTGGGCCGTGACCCCTCTGATGAAGACTGCTTCTTTGACCTCCTCAGCAAATTCCAGAGCAGCCGCATGGATGACCAGCGCTGCCACCTCGATGAGCCACAGAATGGAGACAACAGAGAAGGCGCCGCAACCTCCATGTCATCCCTGAGTGAGATGATAGGTTTGTGACAACAGCATATGCCTTTTATGTCTTTTGTGTCCTATCTTAGGATTAACTGCTTTCTTTATGGCATCTCTGTTCTTGCTGAAAGCTCATCCCTGCAAAGGTTTGGGATCTACCAGATCATTTGCACTCACTGGGATATCTCCGCCCCCCTTTTTCTTTAGATCCTGCAATTACCACTTCCCCCCAGACAGAGGAGCTGTTTGATTTGATCGCCAGCTCTCAGAGTCGACGTCTTGATGACCAACGTGTTAATGTTGGTAACCTCCCGGGCCTGAGGATTACTCATAACAACCTGGGTCACCTGGTGGGAGAGGGAGATCATCAAGAGCCCAGTGATGACTTCTTCAACATGCTTATTAAGTGCCAGGTAATGACACATTAGCACACACATAAATTTGAAATGTGGTTGTTGTATTGTTTATATAGGTTGCCTCTTTAGCAAATGTGAATCCTATATTAAATAATCTGTATGCGCTCTTTCTGGTTCTAGTCATCTAGAATTGACGATCAGCGGTGCTCCCCACCAGAAGCGGGCCCCCATGCCCCTACGGTGCCTGATGAAGACTTCTTCAGTCTGATCCAGAGGGTGCAGGCCAAGCGTATGGACGAGCAGCGCGTCCAGCTGCCCACAGATGACCAGGAAAGCCCTCCGTCCCCAAGTCCCGAGCCAGCTAGCGGATTTTCCAGCTAGGATTTGGTGAATAAAGCTTCATGTCAAAGAAAATGGAAGCAGGAAAAAAGGAAAGGATGAGCCAACATTTAAGGACAGTACTAAAGGGTGAACTAACAAGCTTTTTAATAACAAGACAAATTCAATGTGCAATAGATGTTGCCCTGTTAAATGTTGCTCAGTGTATTATGTTAAATGTGTGTAAATATAATGGCAAACAGGCAGAATTTAACCTCAGTGATGCAGAGAAGAGGAAAATGAAAGTGTGGGGGTGACATGATTACAAATATTAAATATATATTTAATCTAATGCCTTAATCAGCATTAAAAAAAAGAATCTGACTCAAGATTGTATTCACGGGTGTCAGATGTGTTTCTTCTTGAAGCACATTGTATAATATGGACATTTAATATAGATAGCTACAGTGAAAGTCACAAAGACTTATTTATAGAAACAGTGTTGACATTAGAGAATCTTAGAATCTTAAAAACATACCTGATAATGAAAATTTGAGACAGATATATCTGAAGTGCTCAATGCTGCTTTTATCATTCGATTTTCGTGGTCCCCACTGCTCATAGAAATGTGCTGTTATTTACAGTATTACAAACCCTATCCCCCAGTGTTATGACAAAAAATGCTTTGGTCAATTTGAACTTCTCCATTATTGGTAACTGCACTCGAAGCGATCCACACGAAGCGATTATATTTGGTTAAATTAAAACACTGATTTAAGTCTGGTTTCCCACGAAAATGCAATTTTTGCGAATCTATGCCTTTAAAAAGTGCATCTCACATGCTGTGCTAATGTTACTGAGCAAAAAAACAAAACAAAATCTGCAACATTTCACAGGCTCAAAAGTACGATGGTGTGATATTTAATCTCCAGTTTATGTTTCTGCTTGGCTTTTAAAGTGGTGCTATCTGCTGCCCTTTGTGTTCAAAAAATTCTGATAATGGACTACTGCTACTTACTGCCTTTATTGTTACTTAAATAGACTTAGAAGCAAATATATTAAATAAGAAATGAGACACGTGTGTCATATTTTGAAAATTCTAACACGGTGAGCAATGCTAACTCTGTGTTGCTACTATATGTTGCCTCTCGGTGGCCAAAATGTAGTATTACCTCTGTGAAATGAAGAGTGCAGTCTGTCGGGGAAAACAGGCTTCCCCTCTTCTAGAATATTTGAAGGTTTATATTATACCTACATTCTGTTCTGCACAAATTCTGCAAACAAAGTTATGCTAACCTGTACCCTAATTGTTACCATGATATATTGTTTGGTAAACTTTAAATTGCACCATTAAATCCAGGTACGGCCTGGTGCACTTTCCTGTTTCTTACAAACTTTTCTTCTTGGTTTTTTCGCTAAAGGCTTGAAAATATTTATTGTACAAAGTGACTGCATCATGGCACCGAAAATATTTGACCTTACCCAGTGGCTTGCTTTATTTTTAATTTTTTTAAATCAAAAGTAGTACCTCAGTGCTTACATGAACCTTAAACATACTGAATTGTGAATCAGGATGGATCATGTACCACAGTGCTTTATGTTTGGTCCATCTCTCTTTGATAAACAACACATTGGGAGCTAAGATTAAAAAAATTCTCTTCATGTTTTTTGTGAATTAACATTTTTTTAGACACTACACGGTACGCTTCGATTTGTCTTTGCCATAATTTGTATATATAAAGATATTTTGTATTTATGTTCCTTTTAAGGGCATGAATATGTCCCCTCATGCTTTTAATAAAATGTTTGAGATGTTTAGTTTGGACTTGTTTTTTAAAAAAAGCTTGCATGCATTAGTTCCTCTTTGCTTACACGTACACCTCTGTGCTGTATGAACCTTGCAATCATTTGAATGGATTGGATTTCTCAAGCTGTAATCTTTTGTGGAACATTTCACAAAAAGCTAATCGGACTCTGTTGGCCCACTCAAATATGGTTGCTCAACTAAGACTGGGTAGGAATGTGAAGAATTAAATATAACAAACATAAAGTTTCTTATTTGCATTTACACCACTCCCTGCATCACATCGGATAAACCTGCGGTGTAATTACAGCTGTTTTAATCTGCATAGTGTAATTACAAAGCACTGCAATTCTATTATATAATAATTAGATTCAATATTCGGTTAAAAAGCACCATTATAATGCATCTGTGTTTTTTAATGGTTACATATCACTTAATCAAACTTCCTCAAACACTGAGCATTTTTGCATGTCACATGTCTTCTTCTCATCAGATATCCCCCAAACTTGCAAAGACACACTGACCACAAGATTTTAATTTACTAAGGGGGTGTGTTGATGTGCAGCTGTCAGACCATGCCACTCCGCTTCCCCCACTTCCTCCTGTCCATCATCCCTTCTTTCCTCCCTCCTACCCAGAATGCAATGCACACTTGAGCAGGCTCAGGCGAGCTATAAAAAGGCATAGAAGCGGAGAGGGAGGGCTGGCGTGCAGCAGGAACTGTGCAGTCACACGCACACGGGGATCCAGGGACAGCAGCCCCTTGCGCTGAGATCTAAAGCCACAACGCGAAAGAGAGGTCAGTACAGAGGACAAAGGCTCTATAGAGGAAAACAGGCAGGAAACGCCTCTGAACAGGGCTGGGTTTGTCAGAGAGGGAGACAAATAGAGGAATATCGGAGAGACAAAGTGGGCAGGGCTGTTTGACGGGATGGAGAGTGGGAATGACAGAGGCAGAGGTTCTTATGGGAACTGTCATGGGACCGTTTAGTCACACTTTAAAATGGTTGACATTTCTTTTTTTCTTTATGTGCCAAAGGAGCCAATCATGGATTTCTTTGCAGTGTAAAGGCATGCAGGGCTCGTCTGTCATTCACAGTGATGTTACTTAAGGCATTACATCATAATTATCCCCAAAACTATAATTAGCACTGATTGTATTTGCTTGTTTTGCTTTGACTTTTCCTTCTCTGGTTTCTTCTACTTTGATACCGTGTCAACATTCTCCTGAACCTGCAGCCATTTAAAGGGGCATTTTCATGCAACCCCGCGTAGCCATTAAAGTCCGCTGCAAAGCTTTCAGAGCCCGCGAGGATCATTAGCAGCTGATGAGGGCTGAGTGCTATTGATTCCTGTTTTTACGTGCAATTTGGAGCACAGACACATTAATAACACCCACAGCAAACAATTGAATGTCTCATGCTCCATCCTTCCACAAACAACACGGAATATCTCCCACCGCACTGACGTCAAAGGGTCCCCTGATTTCCCTTAAAGGGACAGCGCTCTCAATTAAAACCGCAGAGCACCCTGGTAACCAAACGATTTACAGGGAGAATGTACTGTTAGATCATCGCTTTCTGTGTTTTGCTTTCAGGGGCGGTCAGTCAGAGCTTCATCTCCATGGGCTTTTTAGGAATGCTTGACAGATAACCTTTAACAGCTGCACATCGGCTTGAGTCTTTTTTTAGCAGGGCTGCATGTTTAAAAACGGTAATTAGACATGAGGGTGGTGCAGGCAAGATGGACTGTCCCATCTTCCTTAGGATGGATGTAATGGTGATTGTAGGATCTGTAAAGATAGAATTAAAAAAATCCAAAACTGCATATATGAATAGACCACCACTACTATATCAGGTTCTCTAAATAATTTCAGCACTTGATTGGACTGAATTGAATTTTCATATTGCAGGATTATATAAGGGACAATTTAGACACCAAGTCTCTGTTAAGACTCTCCCGAGGAAATGTAGTATGTAGTTTCCCTTCCATAATTGCAGACAGTGTTAAATGCCATGCCCACACCTAGGAGTTGTGCAATCAGGAGTTAGTACACATATGACATGTCAGGACACAGAAGGTGGCACCATAATAGGCCACACCGAGACTCCCAAAACAGGTTCTGTGCTGACTCAGATGTCAGCCTCCGAGTGACATTTACCCAGACCACAGGGTTAATGGCTGCTGACATACAACTGGACACCTGAGAAGCAACGGCAGGGAGCACTGAGGCGTAGTACAAGTGAGAATCAGAGAACAAGCTGACAAACTTTTAATGCAAACCAAGAAGCACACACTAGGTTTAGGAATGTACAAGTTTCCTTCAGATTAAGTATACTTTAATGTATATCTTGCTTTTTCTGTCTGGCAGTTTAGCCATAAAATGACTCATATCGCACTGTTCTGCAAGCGTATTTTGCAACCTGGCACTATGCAAACTGTACTATTTGAATTGCAAGGGCTAGATAAAATGCAAACTGCTGCAATGTCACCAGGTCAGGTTTGTTTCAATTAATTTAATGCTACTCCTCGAGGTGTGGTTCTTTTAATGCATTCTAATAAAATCTTGCCACAGTAAAACAGTTCCTGGAGATCCTTGAGGAATATTTAACTCCTATTAAATAATAAATCCTAAAATACTGTTTTTTAGTTGTTCATTTAAATACACGGTCCACGATTACACTCAAAATGTCCAACACTGCACCTATGAAGATATTTGTCACCATATAATGTTTTTTTTTCTGGTGTACAGTGTGTCCTTTCCTTTTTAGTGCCAATGCCAAGGCACTTGGAGGCACCAAGTAACCTGAGAAGTACTCTCTTGCCTTTTGACACACATTTAATTTGACATACAAGCAGCTTCTTAGGTTACTTTAAGACTATAGCTAGCCAATTTGTTTCATGTGCGTAACATAGTAACAAGCACAATAGCCAAAAAGTGCTGTATGCATAACTCCAAAGGCACACAAGTAGTGCAAAAACTCACCTCAGTGCACAGCAGCTGTGTGAGAGAAATCCATTTAATTTAGGAAACAATACATGACAACTTTGACAGAGTGTGTGGGCATATTTTTGACTGGCACTGCTTTAAAGTATTTTGTTTTTCAACTGTATGTTCAGACGGACATGCAGCTACTTGAACGTGCCTATTTATGCCAGCAACCCAGCCTTCTTCCTCATTCTTCAGACTTCTGTCTTTGAGTCAGCTAAAACGGACGTGTAAACAGGAAACAAACTGGCTATTGTCTTTTTTAGATATGCCCAGGTCTATTAATACAACACTAAAAGGTATTTTATTACGCCAAAGGTTTTGTGAATCAAAATATGCTCATACCAGCAGCATGTTAAGAGCATGTTAAGAGATTCATAAAACTGTACTTTCAATGACACACCAGAAAACTGGCTTTTCCTACATTATACTATACAAAACACACACACAAACAAACTGTTGTGACTTTACCAGGAATAGTAATATTGCCAGCTTTACCATAACCAATTTCCCCCCAAAAGTTGGAATATTGTGTAAAATATA